GGGATGCCGCCGACATCGGCAGAGAGGGGATCTTATTTTTAGTTTTTCCTGTTTTGAAATCCATTTTTTCACTCGTGCCTAAATTTCCCGTCTGCTCTGTATCGCGATGGTGAGTGTCTCGAGCATCGGCTAACTGACTGTCGCCGGTTGTTTGGGTACAGCCCACGGGAGTACCCGCAGCCATCAGCGGTGGAGTGTGGCCGTGGCTGGGTTGAAATCTCGGGGGAGAAGGAGAGAGCAAATAAAAGCTGCATCAGGTGTTTTGCAGTGGAGGCAGAGTTCTTATTTATTCATTTATTTTTTGTAGCTTGAGGGTTTTTTGAAATCTTACTCATTTCCTTTAGGTGCCCTGCCGAGAATTAGTCTCTACAGGAAAACTTGTCTTAGTTATGTAGGTTGGCAATTCATAATACGTAGTCTGCAATCTTTTAGTTAATGTCTGGTTGGACCCAGTTACTCTCTCCCCCTCCCTGAAGAAGTCTGCTAAGAGTCTGGTTACACGTGGCTCCAGGTGGCCCTCCTTGAGCGGGGGGGGTTGGACGAGATGACCTCCAGAGGTCCCTTCCGACCTCGGCCAGTCTTCTGTGACTATAAAGCTCTATCTCTGTGGGGATCCAGTAGAACTTGGAGGAGCAAATCCAAAAAACCGTTTAGGAGAAGTATTGGTGGTGGTATAGGAGGACTATGTAATCCAGGTTGCACTACCTAGGAGCCTTCCAAGACCTTCAGAGGGCAAGCTGCTCAGAAGCAGTGTGCAGTTACGTTTATGAAGGGAGCTGTTTTAAATGTTCATGTTCCTTAAATCACACATCTGTTGTCTTTGCAGTGTCTCCTGTGAGTATTCGCCTGGTGACTTGGTCTGGGCCAAGATGGAAGGTTATCCTTGGTGGCCGTGTCTCATATACAACCATCCAACTGAAAGAACAATAGTCAGAGGAAAAGGGAAATCCACTCGTGTCCACGTACAGTTTTTTGATGACAGCCCTACGAGGGGCTGGGTCAGTATTAAATATCTGAGGCCATACAAAGGTAAGAGATATTAATAAAACTTTCTGAAATGGAAATACGCCACTTGTTTTGGAAAAATAGGCATGGCATGGAGTATTGGGGTATGGTGTTCTCCATAGAGAAAGAGCAGCAAAACCAAGATTAGTATTGAGTGGGAAAGCATGTTTTGTACTTTGTAACTTAGACAAAGGAAGTTTTTGAGGGTTACAGGTGTGTTCATGGTCATACAGTTCTTTAAACATAAAACACTAAGCCCTCTTGTTTGTTAGGTTAGAACACAAAGTTAAAGCTTGCTTATGTTTTAAAGTTTTTTCTTTTATTTCTCCCATCAATATAAAAAAGATCTAAAAGATAAATCCACTATTTCAATTTTTTAGCCCTGAAATCCTTACAATATTATGAACGTCAAACCCAGTTTTTAAGCAGCTATTTGGGAACTTCAGTTTGTCCAGAATCAAAAGACTAGGCACAGGATGTTAGGTAACTAATTCTACTGTGGTGTTACTTCTTTTAAGCAATGCAGTACAGTTTTGTTAATAAAATATATAACTTGAGAATTCAGAGTGTTTGTTAGGGTAATGCTTGTAGTTGCAGAGCAGAGCTGGTGTTTGTCATCTTGATGAAATGACTTGGCTAACTAATGAAAATCAAATGTAATCAAGAATTAAACCAACATTTTGCATAATAAATCTCACCTTATTAATAATCATGATCTGTTTTCCCCTTGTTTTATAATTTTACTGTTGCTGAAAACTGTAAATCATTGGCTGTAAACTGTCGTGTGTAAATCATTGCTGTAAACTGTCGTCTTGTTAGTCAAACAAGTACTTTGGGTGTGATCAGTATTTTTTATACACTGTAGGATTTGCTTATGTCATCAGTGAAACAGCTGAATTTAAACAGTTTCTTCCTTTTTGGAAGTCAGAGTTCCATCTCATGTGATCATGTAGTCATCTTTTTTTGGCTTGTTTATACTTAAATGTACTGCACTTAGGCCATAGTTAGTTTTAAATTAAAATGGTAATGTTGCTACCATAAGTGTTAGCATAATTTAATGCAAGTGGATTGGTCCACGGTTTATATGTAACTTTCCTGAAGGTATTTTAAAAGAATCAAATATATTTTAACAGCTTGCAGTTGCACTTAGAAGCAAATACATGTAAGGAGAATTGATCTGTTTACCAAAAGAAAAATGCAGAAAAATAAGTGTTCAAAATGTTTAAGCACAGAAATGCTGGTCTATCTAGAAGAAATGTGGTTAATGCAGAACAGAGTAAAAATATTTAAAATACATGCTTTGCATTTAAATTCAGACAAAAAGCATCTTTGTATACAAAGTAAGAGTGTTGGAGTCTTTGGGTAAGAAAATGGAGAAGTTTCTTACATTGTGTCATTGTTTGTAACTGAATAAATACAGACAGCACAGGGCTAGGCTTCTAACAGTTGGGCATGCAAGAAGTGGAGTTACATACAAGCTGGTTAAGTGAATGTGCAGGTGTTGCACGCTTGAGTATGCAGTTAAATTATATGATGAGTTTTTTTTGTCCCGCCATTGTTAAATTGTCAATAGTAAATGCAAAATATTTTTAGATTGTCTCACTGCATTTGCAAAACTAAAATGGAGATCTGGTTTGTTAATGTGTTGCGTTTGTGCTGTAGAAGCAGCTACTTGTAACTCCGTGCTTTGCTACTGCAAGCTCAAAGGAATGAATGTGAGAAAGAATTCTGTTTGGCTTATTTCTGAGATAGCTGGCCTCCTGCAAGGCAGCTGCCTTTTGTCTGCCACTGACTTAGAGCTGAAGCTTCAGTTAATAGCAGCGTATGAAGGGATTCACAGGAGCGGGTGTGAGGACCTATTCAAGCAGATCCTACTGCCGTATGCAGCCAGCTAAACTTACAAGGGCAGAAAAAGGAATCGCCCTTCCCCATCTATAGCGTACTCTTATGTCCCCCTTCTTTCTTTCCCCAGGTTGAAGATATAATATGTTATATATACCATTCAGTTCTTGAGCATGGCATTAAGATGCATTTCAGCATCTTTGGGGACCCTTTCTAGAAATCGGTCTGTAGATTGGTCGGCTTTGGTTTTGTGTTTATGTACAGGCAGTGGAGGGAGGAACTGTGGTGCTCAAGGGATATGAAAGAGGATGAGGGAATGGTGCAGCTATTAATAGTCGGCTTTGCTTGATACCCTGCAGTGTCAGGCTGAATTGCCAGCATGATTGATGATCAGCTAATCTGGCTAATAGGTTAGTGTTGGGTCTGGACGCCTTGCTGCTCTTACAGGAGCAGTTTGAACGGCCAGCAGAGCTTTAGCCAAGAGGTCTATGTCATAGATGACTGGCGCCCATAACTTAAAAGATAACTTTATGGTTGAACTTACCTATCATTGCTAAAATAGCCGTGTGGTCTCAGTCAGGTCTGCTGCACTGCTAGTATAAAGTGTGCTTTTCAATAGTAACTATAGTTAGTGTGAGGGTGTTTGGAGCTTAGCTTAGAAGTATTCAGATGTGGTAATGAGTTACAGAAATAGAAGCAATTCTTCAAGTGTTCGTGTACTAGGCAGGCATTTCATTTGTGAGTGTTTAGACTTTTTCTAGGGGTAGTTTATCAGGCTGAATGAGCGATGGGTTGCTATATTTAAGACATGGTGGGAACGACTGGTAACAACACAGAATTACACTAGTTGTCTGAATCCATTTAAAAGTGAAGTATGAACGCTAACTAAAGGACTGGCTAAATGCTAGACAAACTTCAGTTTCTGACAAATTTTTTGTGGTTTTACAGGTTCATCAGATGGGGAGACGCTGAAGGGAGGTATGTTTTATAGTACAAAGCCTGAAATTAAAAGAGCAATGGTGCTCGCGGATGATGCAATGAGTAAAGATAAAACTAAGCGGCTTGAACTGGCAGTATGCAGTGAACCTTCAGACACAGAGGAGGAGGAGGAGGAAGAGGAAGAGGAGGAAATGGAGGTAAAATTTTTCTTACTTGCTGTCATTTTCAGAAATAGTGCTAGAACTTGGAAGCTGTCTCTTGGAACTAAGCATGGAATATCCTGCAATTCTCTGGTACAGTAATCACAGCTTATCTGCTCTTTAATCATGCATGCATATGTATCCATGTCTTTTTTTTGTACTGCTTCTGTGTTGTCAGGTCATACGCTGTTCTCTCACCTTTTCTAGTTGGAAACACAAGTCTAATATCTCTTTGGTGTTCTGTATGGTAAAGACTGACCTCAGAAGCTACTCCTCTAACTCTCTTCATTGATCACTCCCTGGGTAACCCAGGTGATCCACTTTCTCACTCATAAAGTACTTTTTTTCTGGTACATCTTTTTATCTTCTCTATCTGCTATTCATATTCCAAGTTCCTCTAAGTTCGATCTGAAGTTTTAATTTGTCATAACGTAGACATTTCTAACTTTTTGAGTATTCATCTTAAGGCGTTAAATTGGATTTTTGGAGCCTGCCCTCATCTTGTAGAGTAGCACTAAAATACAAATTCTAGTGCTGTTAACACCAATCTGTTGGTGAGGTAACTAAAAAGAGATCTTTTATTGTGTTGTGTTGTGAATGATTCAAATGTTATTTCAGTACCACCATATGCATTGCAA